TGTCTAGAATGATGTACAAATGAGTGTTCTTGCTCATTTTGCCTCCGAGATATGAGCAAAAACGGGACGGAAAACATGGAATTTTGGCATGATCTTGCACCTAAATGTCTGATATTCAAATTTCACTTTCTGGGTCAAAACTACTCGAGCATCTTCAGAAGTGGTTTGCGCCAAACCGTTGTGCCGAAACACTGATTTTTTGGTGAAAACTGATCAATCGGCCGGTTCCCAAACAACACACACAAAACGCAACGTTTCAGTTTCTCCGATTTTTTTCTTGAACTTTTTAAATTAAGCAGTTTCACCGAAACAAACCCTGGATGGTCCATAAATTAAGCCAAAAAACTTTTGAAATAATTCGCTTTTCCAAAATAATTCCTTGTTAACTGTGGAGTAAACCAAGACCAGTTTTCCTTTTGTTTACAGGCTTGCGCCGCTCAGTTCTACACAGAAAAGGATGTCACAATGACAGCTAATCAAATTTTTGACAATAAGTGTCAAATTTGACTAGTTAAAGGTTAGTTATAATTTAGGCGCCAGGGGGCGTTGGGACTTTTCAACTCGCGAGGAAGAAAATGGATGTCAATTTGACATCAAACGGGCAAATTGTGGGAACGCAGACGCCCGAAAGCCGCTGTCCCATGGACGTCCAATGGATTGAATAACGTTGTCTGGGTTTAGAGTGTTTTTGCGTGCCGCCCAGAAGTTTTTTGGAAAAAATCCATAATTGTTCATTTTTGTTAACCGCATGAAATTTCCCTCCCACTCAGTAAACAAGTGACAGATAAGAACGACGTCTGCGTCACTGCCAGAAATCTTGGGGGAGTACTTAATCTGGACGAGTGAAGTACTTACCCTGGATCCGGACTCGAGCACGTTCATTTTTGCATTGGTTGGCAGACTGCCAGACCAGGAGATCATCATCGGGACACTGTAGGAATTGTCGCTGACAGTCATGTGCTGATAGAGCCAAGTGAACCACTTTTCCAGCACCGATCGGGCGGTTTCATCGCCTGAAAGAACATAGAAATGTTGCAATTGATCCGGTTCAGGCTGGCTGGAAAATGCCCTTACCAGTTATGTAGTAGTACTGGGCCAGCCTGTCGGTTGTCCAGGACCACATGCCGAACCAGTCGCTGGTACCGTCGTCGTCCAGCGGTTCATTTTCGTAGTAAAGTCCATGGAAAGTGTAGCCCTGCCAGTTAACAAGAGCTAAGTGGGTGCCACAGATTACAGAGTATTGATTGGACAGTTTTGCTTTCCCGCCAAAATGATTTTGCTAAATGCAACCACAGCGAGGCGTCGTCCAAAAATCCAGAGGATAAGCTGATTGTTTGCATGCGTTTGTTTTGTACATATGTCCGTAAGAGGACTCTGAACATACAGTATTTTTTATTCGAATGAATCAAAAAGTGCCATTTTGCGAACAGAAGCGATGATCAAAAAGAAGCACTTTTCTTTAGCGTTCATTTGTTTTAC